AATTTGCTCTGAGCACGGCCAGACTGCTGTTCTGGGGTTTGGGAAGGAAGCAGAGGCAAAGGCCGTTTTCACCCCGTCCTATCCAGGTCTGCCCTGCCCACAGGTTCGCCAGCACTCACGCTGCCCGCAGCCACCCGGCTGAGTACCGAGGAGGGTTTCTCTACTGTGGAGTTCTTTCCCGCTTCCCTACTGGAGAGGTTCTACTCTCTGTCCTTGAGGGTGGAGTGTCAACCCTCCTGAAGGATTCAGGTAATTCCTCTGCATGGGTATGTATTTCTCCTCCCCTACTGAGGACGTCAGTTATTTATCAGTATTGTTGCGGGCGCATGGATCTTAGTTATCTTTTCGGTACCACTTCTTCGTTTTGTTTCTCAAACTGCCCTAGCTTTGCCCTGTGGGAGCTCTCTCACTTGGACCCTGTCCCCTTTGACTCCATCAGTATGAAGTTGTGGGGATTTTTTGAGCACTTCCCGACTTAGATGTTACTGGTTCTTCACTCTGTTTTTGTTTTGTGTTTTTGACTTTCTGTTTTTTTTGAGACAGGGTCTCACTATGTAATGTGGCTGGCCTTGAACGTGCTTAGGTAGCCCAGGCTGGCCTCGACCTCACAGCAGTCCTCCTGCCTCAGCCTCCCGAGTGCTGGGATTACAGCTGTGCGCCACCACACCCGGCAACTTTGTATTATTTTCTGCACCAGTCCTGGAATCAGCCTTTTTCACACCAAGGAACCCTAATTCTAGGTGTGCTCATTGGTACTAGAGTTATGATACATTTTAAGAACTATCTTTGAAAGATAATTTTACCAATACCATTCTACTCCATACTACTCTAATCTCTGTGAATAATCCAGAGTATTTAGAGGAGTTCATATCTTCTAAGCAACAATCAGTTCCTAGTGACACAGCTTAGACTTTAGCCTAATTATACTTTAAAATTTCAAAGGCTTGGTTTTAGATTGGCACTAAGTAGAATAAAGTAAAAAGACTGAATAGTTTGTTTGGACATCTGCTTAAGATAGAGTTACTTGGGGGCTGGGGATTTAGCTCAGCAGCACAGTGCCTGCCTGGCAAGCGCAAGGTTGTGAGTTCGATTCCTGGTACTGGAAAAAAAAAACCAAAAACCAAAAAGATAAGAGTTACTTGATTATTTTGAAGTACTGTGTTAGCGCAAAGGTGTTTTCTTTTTAGGGAAAATTTTAATATATAATAAAGATAAAAGGTCAAGCATGGTGGCATATGCCTCCAGCTAACTGGGGGAGCGGGGATTGCAAGTGTGTGGCCAGGTCTGGGCAATTTACTGAGACCCTGTCTCAAAAGTAAAAAAAAAGAAGGGCTGTGGTCATAGCCTAGTGGTAGAGTACTTGCCTAGTGTACATTCAGGGCTCTGGGTTCAATTCCTAGTACTGGAAAAACAAAAAAAAGGAAAATTTACTTAAAACATCTTCCTCAAAAAGCAACACCTTTACCACTTTCAAAAGTAAAAGTAATTTAATAGATAGCAGGGCGTGGTGGTGCCCACCTGTAATCCCAGCACTCTGGGAGGCTGAGGCTAGAGGACGGCAAGTTCGAGCCCAGCCTGGACAGCTGAGACCTTACCTCAAAACTTTATTATTATTATTATTATTATTATTATTTTTTTTTTTTTTTTTTAAGACAGGGTCTCGCTATGCAGTTCAGGCTGGCCTTGAGCTCACTTTGTAGCCCAGGCTGGTCTCGAACTCGCAACGATCTTCCTGCCTCAGCCTCCCAAGTGCTGGCATTACAGGCGTGTGCCACCATACCCGGCTTCTTACCCCAAAACTTAAGAGGGCTGTAGATGTAACTTAGAGTAAAAATGCTGGATTCAATGCCCAGTACCTTAAATAAATATTTCTAAAAAAGATGTACATGGAGAAATGATCCTCTCATCCAGTTTCCATCCAGCAGTTTCGGCCAGCACTACAGGCAGCCACTGAAATTAGTGCCTCGTGTATCCTCTAGTGCTTCTTGTGCAGACAGTTCATCTCCTTTTTTACAAGTGAAGTAGATGCTAGAAATATATAGCATCCTTTTCTGCAGGTAATACTGTCTGACTATGGAACGGTACAAGTTTAGTGTTGCAAAGAGCTTGGTTTTAATCCCTTTATTTAAAAAACAGGTGAGGGGCTGGGGATTTAGCTCAGCGGCAAAAGCACCTGCCTGGCAAGTGCAAGGTCGTGAGTTCGGTTCCCAGTACCAGAGAAAAACCAAAAAAAATAAAAAACAGGTGGTTCCCTCCCTTAAGAAACCACTGTATAATTAAAACAGTTTCTGATTTGCTTTCCTAATGATGAGCTCAAACTTTCCTCTGTAATTTGTATCTCTGCTGGTTTGGACTTTCTGTCAGGATGAAGTCTATTGCATCTTCTCTGTATCTAATAGCTCACAAGCTAGGCAGATTGCTAACCATAGGAATTTTTTCATCCGCCAGTTGCTCAAGTGGTGTTCCTTCCCTCCCTCCCTCCCTCCCTCTCTCCCCGCTCCCCCCCCCACTAACATCTTTTAGGGTCTGAATGGTGAACTTAACCTTTGCAAATATTGATGAAGATAAGCTAAAGGGTGAGACAGTGGACTACAGCATGGCAGCCCTTGCATGGAAATGCCAAATATCACTTGTGCTGTTTTACAGGGGACACATTTATGAACTGGGGTTAAATAAAAATGATGCAGTATGGATCTGAACCCAGTTCTGCGATCCCAAGCCTAAGCTCCTAACTACTTACATGGAACCCAAGAGGTAGTCATTTGAAGAACTGACTGAATGAACCAAGATCTCCCTGTTCCAAGGTCTTTTCATACTATACCTATTTGTCTGTCTTTCTTTCATTTCATACTACACCCATTTCTGTGTAAATATTCTTTATTGGACAATTTACAATCTAACCTCTTATTCTTTTTTTTTCCCCCGGTACCAGGAATGGAACTCACAACCTCACACTTGCTAGGCAGGTGCTGTGCCGCTGAGCTAAATCCCCAGCCCCAAACCTCTTATTCTCAATAGTACAAGGTATTTTTGCTTTTTAAATGAAAACTGAGTACCAAGTTCCTGAAATGAAGAGTCCTATGAGCCAGTTGTGGGGCACACGCCTGTAATCTCAGCTGCTTGCTGGGCTAAGGCAGGAAGATCACAACTTTGGGGCCAGCCTGGGCAATGTGTGAGAGCCCATCTCAAAAAGGGCAGGGGGTGTGGCTCAGTGTGAGGGCCGGGGTTCAATTCCCAGTTTCCTTTGCAAACAAGCAAATCAACAAGCCAAAGAACCCCCATAAGAAGGCAAAGAAGGAGAAAGTTTGTATGTATGTATGTGCAGGATAGTCAACATGGCTGTTCTACTGTCTTCTATTTCTTTGCTGAAAGAAACTGTCAATGAGTCCTTGGTTGATCAGCTTTGTATGTCTCTATCTGTTTTCATGAGAAACCACTTTGAAGATATCAATATGTAATACAACAAGCATTGTTAATTCCTTACCACTCTGTTTGTAACTCTGTACTGTCTGTACTGTTCCTTTGCTATTTTGTAAAATGTCGACTCTCTGTTAATATTTTCCTTTTATTTAAAAAACAAAAACAAAAAACAAAGAACCTCCATAAAACAAAAACCCCAAAACACCCTTTGATTTAGTCCAGCAAATTGTGTTCAATGATTCCCGGTATTACCCAATATAGTTCCTTCTGTGAATTATCATTACCAGTCTAACTGAAGACTTTTGAGGTTAAATTTAATAACTTTGTACAAAAAAGAACTTAGCATTAGATTCTAAACTACCAATATAATCTCCGAATCTTTGTGTTTTGTTAGTGTAACATGTATTTTAATTGCAAGTTGTAATCACTGTATATACACTGTGGTAAAAATTTCTTCTGGTTTTTGTTTTTTGAGACAGGGTCTCACTATGCAGTTCAGGCTGGCCTTGAACTCAGGGCGATTCTCCAGCCTCAGCCTCCCAAGTGCTGGGATTATAGGTATGTGCCACTACACCTGGCAATATTTCTTTAAATATTAGTGTTTATTTTTTATGACTGCATGGTTTACATTTTAAAGACTGTGCTGGTGCTGGGGATTTAGCTCAGCCGCAAAAGCGCCTGCCTGGCAAGTGCAAGGTCGTGAGTTCGGTTCCTGGTACCGGAGAAAAACAAAAAAACAAACAAACAAACAAACAAAAAAGACTGTGCTGAGGTTTGTTTCCCAGATTAGCATAGTTTCCTGCACAACTCTCTAGAATTGTACTAGACTCCTCACTGCGTGCATAGATAAGGTGGACAATGTAAGTATATGTTGGGTGAAGACTTCTGATACAAGTACATGTGGTGAGGCAGAGGGAGGAATCAGAAGTAACTCCTAGCTACTCCACAGATAAGCTAATTGAGAGTAGTTCCGTGTACCTAGGTTGGGATGTTCCCAAAGGGTTGAGACGGAAGTAGGAGGCTATGTTAGGGTTAGAAGAGAAAACAACAAAACAAGACAAAAAAAAAACAAAAACAAAAACAAAAACAAAAAAACAAAACAAAACAAAAAACCCAAAAAAACGAAGATACCCAATTGAGACATGTTAAGTTTGAGATATCTGAAAAGACAACGCAGGAGGAAATGTTCAGGCAGGTAGCTGATTATAAGTCTAGCGCTCAGCAGCTTAGAGCCAAGTTACTACTGTTCTAAAGTTCGTTTGTTAGTCTTTTTGAGACAGGGTCTCACTATGCAGTTCAGGCTGGCCTCGAAATCGCAGTGATCCTCCTGCCTCAGCCTCCCAAGTGCTGGGATTACAGGTGTGCGCCACAACTGGCCTTCTAAAATTATTTTGTGAGTAGGCCAAAACTGAATATCCAAGTTTATTTATTCATTGACTTTTTATATGGAGACCTGCTATTTTAAGTAGTTTCATGATTATGTATGTGTTTTTTTGTTTTGTGAGTTTTGAGACACAGTCTCTCACTATGTAATTCAGGCTGGCTCTGAACTGACTTATGTAGCTCAGGCTGGCCTTAAACTCCTGGTAATCCTCCTGCCTCAGCCTCCTGAGTGCTGGGATTACAGGCGTGTGCTACCATGCCCAGCCATCATGATTTTGTATTTACATTGCTCCAACACCATATTTAGAGAAGTCTAGCTTTATCCTTGTCTTCTTTGCCCTGATAGCCTGCATTCCTTTAGAGGTCATGGTTTAAAATTTTTATTTTATGATTGGTTTATTGTTACTATATACATACATCTTACTTCATTTTTAACTTAACACAGTGTATCATGTAGTGAAACCCTGTCTCAAAAAGACAAAAAAAGTGCATCATGAAGCTCATTCCACAGTAATGTTTAGAGACATAATTATGATCGCTTTGAGTGATAAAATCTTTCAACTGAAGTTCTTTTTCCAAGATTATTTTTGCTTTCCTGGGTCCTTACATTTTGTATGTATGTAACAATCAGCTTAAAAAAACAGCATCAGCTTGTCAATTCTGGGGAGAAAGAAAGGCAGCAGATTCTGACAGGAACTGAATAATCTGCAGGCCAGCTTTGGTGGCATTTCTATTTTAAGTCTCCTGATCCATGCACATAGGACGTCTTTAATTTCTTCCAGCCACCACGCCCAGCTTTCTCCTGACTTTCTAAGGAGTGGATGTACTGCGTTTCTGCATACCAGGACATGCAGACTAGCAACAAAAAGGTTTTTCAAAATTTATTTCTATTGTGTAGATGGGACTGGAGTTGGTGTATAACTACATCTCGATATAGAACCACGGTCTCCTCCAACAAATTTAGGTAAAATGTTAAGAAAATGGGTCACTGCTTAGGTAAGAGCTTTCTCTTACTGGAGCTTTTCTTTGCAGTGGTCTTGGGAGTGGCTCTCATCTGAATGCTGCCTGTTACTCCACCTGGCAGAGGCGTGGCGTCCACTCCCGAAGCTGTCAGGGGCTGATCCTTGGGACAGACTCAGGTGATAGCCCGAGCATCACTGGGCCCTGCTTGCTCTCTGAAATGCGTTATGTATTTTGAACATATTGATCAGACAGAGACTTAAACATAAAGTAAAATAGCTTCTGAGAAGCAGAAAGTTTCCTTTATGCATTTTTAGTAGTGTTTTAATTTTCATCATGTTTATTTACTATCAAAGGATCCACCAGCTGGGCGTGGTGGCACATGCCTGGAATACCAGCACTTGGGAGGCTGAGGTAGGAGGATCACCACAAATTTGAGGCCAGCCTGGGCTACATGGTGAGACCTTGTCCAAAAATAAATAAATATATAAATAAAAAGGATTCACCAGAGCCAGGCATGGTGGCACATGCCTGTAAGACGAGCACTTGGGAGGCTGAGACAGGACGATCACGGTGAGTTTGAGGCCAGCCTGGGATACACAGTGAGTTTAAGACTAGCCTGAATTACAGAGTAAGACCCTGTCTCAAAAAGGAAAACAAAACAAAACAAAACAAACCCCTCCAAACTTGAAAAACATGAGCTCTTTACTGGAAATCCTACACCTACAAATAGTTAAGATTATAATGCTTTAATACAGAACTAAATACCATGATGTGGTTTGTGTTTAACTTAGGACAGTCCAATTCAGAAAGATCAGCATTGAATGTTTTTTTGTTTTTGTTTTTTGGTAGTGGGAATCAAACTCAGGACCTTGAGCTTGCTAGGCAGGCGTTGTGCCACTGAGCTATATCCCCGGCCATCAGCACTGTAATTTAAGTAACATGAATTTCTCAGATCAAGGATGAGCATAACTGGGGAAATTTAAAGAAAGACATGAGGTGCTAGCAGTCTTCAGTTTCTTCTAGCTAGAAACCCCTGGAAGCCATTTAATACCAACTCTGAGTACAGGGGTGAACTTAAAGGGAGAGAAGGGAGAACTGTCTACAGTTGGCAGGGTTAAGGTGCCACTTTTTTGTTGAACTTCTGCCAAGGTGCCTGGATTGTGGATCCCCCACCTAGAGGTTTTTGACTTAGATGACCCAGACTGGGGCACACACAGCTGAATTTTTTGTAGTACTTTCGAATGCTTCCTGTTGAAAATCACCTACGGCAATTAAGAGAAATTTGCGGAGGTGTGGAGGGGGGCACCTGCAGCCCCGGCTACTTGGGAGTCTGAGGCAAGAGGACTGCTGGAGCCCAGGAGTGCCAGGCCAAGCCCGCCACGGAGTGAGAGCCCGTCTTTAAAAACCAAAACCAAACGGCCCTGCTGGATGGCGGAGTACACATAATAAACGAGAGTTGCTGGTATTCCTCTGAAGGCTCTGAGTTCAGGTAAGTGATACTGATCTGCAGTGGGAAAGCGCTGGGGCCGGGGATGTAGCTCAGCGGCACAGCGCCTGCCTGGCAAGCTCAGGGTCGTGAGTTTGAGTCCCGGTACTAAAAAAATTTCTAGGTAATGTTAATTTCACGTTTTCAGTATTTTGGAAGTTAGTCTCCATAGTGAACTCTGCTACAGGGATGAGATTATTTCCTGTAACTTTTATTACAGCACACTCTGGTTTCTCTTCAGATCATATATATCTTTTGCCTTTCACTTTTATTACAGCACATCTTTTTTTATCAATTTCTTTCTCTCTCGTCTCTCTGTCTCTGTCTCTTTTGTGTGAAGGCGAGACCACGCAGTCTAGGCTGGCCATGGACTCACAGCAAGCCTCTTGTCTCAGCTTCCGGAGGGTTCAGCCTCCTGAGTGCACCGCCATGCCGAGCTCCAGGTAACTTCTCAAGCTGTCAGGGACTAATTCTATTTTGTTCAGTGCTGAGACCACCCCAGGGACTAGCGCCGTGTTGGAATCACCTGTTGACTGAGTGTGTGCGTATTTATGTATTTATTTTTAAGGAGTTGCCACAGAGTTTTTAACGTCAGTGGTGGAATTGGTTTTATGTTAACTTCTAGATCTCTGAAGTTACCTTCCTAGCCCTACTGTTCACTGTCTTTAAATAGCCACTGTCAAGAATTCTAGGAGAAATTACTGATAGACGTTTAAGCTTTGTGGAACTCTCAGGTAGTTTGCTTACAAAATGGACATGTAGTGATAAGCATTTCTTCCAAACTTACATTAACGATTTTACAAGGTAAAAATAAAAGTATATACACACAAAATAAATCTAAATGTTAATTCCAATCCTCACACTAGATAAAACCTTGATTTGATTTTGCTAGGTTTTATTCTGATAATTTTTGTAAGTAGATTTTAATTTTTCTTTTTTTTTTGGTACCAGGAATTGAACTCATGACCCTGCACTTGCTGGGCAAGCGCTGTGCCACTGAGCTATCTCCCTGCTCTGGTTTTAATCTGTAAAGATCTGAACTGTATAAAGCCATGATGATGGCTGGGGATGTAGCTCAGTGGCACAGCGCCTGCCCGGCAAGCGTGAGGTCGAGTTTGATTCCCGGTACAAAAAAAAAAACAACCCATGATGATGACTAAGTTGGTCATTATGCTCTTGGAAGAGGTACAGGCTGGGCTTCCCTAAATCTGAAAGAAATTATTTTATATCCCAGAATGTTCTATTCTTTCCTAGGCTTCTCGATTTGAAGAACATTGTTCTCCTTGGAGGTGCTCTGCAGGATCGCATCGCTCAGTGGCTTCCAGCGGGGCTACAGTGCCACTTGCCATGAAGACAGACTTCAAACGACAGTAAAAGCAAGGAAGCACTGGACGCTGTACTTGTCCCTTGAAATTTAAAAAAATTTTCTTTTCACTTCAGATGGTAACGTGCCGACACTGTAACAAGGTCTGAGGGAAGCACCGCTCTCACGGTGCTGTGAGAATGCAGTCATCGTGCTTACGAGCCACGACAGGCCTGGCCTTCCCGCTTCATCACGGCCAGGCCGCCTGCCTACCTAACACAGGGCTCACACGCACCGCTCCCATCTACCGTCCTGCTCCCCGCTTGATGAAAGCAGTTACGGTGCAGCCAGGCTTCAAATGGAAACAGACCCAGCAGGGGCGGGGGGAGGAAACCCCCTGGCCTTTAACAGAAATTGCTCACTTAACTCCCCCGATTTCAAGTACTTCAAAATTAGATTTCTGTGTGATACACCCTATGTGAAAGAGAATTTTCTTTATATTCTATAGAATAAGTAATAGTGAACTGCAACTTAAATGGACATTATGTTCTTCTTGCTAAGAGCAAAGATGGTCTCTGTAGGATTTCATGGGTCTCTCCTAAAGAAATCCAATGAAGAAGAGAAAAATTATGCAACAAATTTTATTTAGCACAGTCAGTCCCAACATTCAGCACAAAAAGTTTACAGAGGATAGAAAGTGCATTAATAAAAGCCAGTCTTTCCCCAAAGAAAACAGAAAATATATTATTGATTCAAAATATTTTACACTTGAATGATAAACTGCAATAACTTATTCTGGGCACCTACTGATAAGAGAAAGGAAGAGAAGGAAAGAATGCTCTGGAAGAGGTCAGTCTCCAGCTGGTCGCGGAGAAGTCAGTAGAGGTCACTAAGACCGGCAGTCTTTCTCGCTTTCTGCATTAGCGCCCTCAGCTGGAACTGCTTACGGGACAGAAGACGCACATGCTGGCAGGGAGAAAGTTCCAACAGTTTAGGCTCTGACCCAGGCCGGGGTGAAGCATCAGACGGTTTATACCTAGATGGGACCCGGGCACCCTGAACACATTACCTCCATCCAGCTTTTGACCCACTACCTCACACGGGGCTTTTTAAACTGCACATCGAGTCTTGCGGATCTTGGGGGAAAGTCTTCTGCAACCCCAAAAAGAAGTCCAGGGAAAGCATCAGCATGCAGAACCTGACTCAGAACTCTATGCTACATGTTTTTTGTTGGTGCTGGGGACTGAAAAAAGTGGATCCTCATATGTGCTAGGCAGTGTCCTTCCCTGGAGCTACATCCCCAGCCCTAAGCCACATCTCAGGATAAGAAGGTGCCAGGGAAACTTGTACTGTGATTCTAATAAAAGCTCCAAATTGGCCAATCACGATGGACACCTATAGTCCCAGCACTCTGTGAGGCTGAGGCAGGAAGACCGCAAGTCTGATCCTAGCCTGGCCAACTCTGCAATACCCAGTCTCAAACGAAAAAAAAAGGCCTGGGGATATAGCTCAGTGTAAACGCCCTAGCTTCAATCCTCAGTGCCACCAAAAAAAAGTTACCAAACCGTTTCCCGATCTTCCTTGGTTAAAAGCAGCGGAAGGGCAAGGATAAGAAACTAACTTTGGGCTCTGGTTCAACGTCTAGCAAACACCCTCCTCCTCTTGCCTCTCCAAGTGCACCCTCCCTTAAGCTCTGCCACCCAACTAGGAGACAGAGCCCAGGCAGGCAGGCCTTGCTCAGGTCTCAGGGTTACAGCCAGCAGCGTGTGCACCTCCCATCGGAGGCACGTGTCTGTCTGAGTGAGGCAGACAAAGGAAGCGAAATCCGCAAGACCAGCCCTGCGTGTCCAGCGGGGCCCCCGCAGCAGCTGGATCAAGTACCTGCGAAGTGCCTGGCCATTACTCGCACACGGCCACCAAGCGGTTACCAAAGCTGGCCCACTCGATTTTCCCGTCTGCATGACACCATTACCCTGAGACAACCTGTATTCAAGACGGCGGCCCACTTCCTTGGAGGGCTGCTTGAGCTGTAAAAACTCGTTTCAAATCACACAACTCTAAGGACGTAAGCCGGTAACAAGGAGCGGGGCAGTGTGTGAGCTGAACTCAGGCGAAGGAACCCATGGGGCCCGGTGCCTGCTCCGCCCCGCACAGGCGCCCCTCGGGGCAGCACGCAGCTTGGCGGGGAAGTGCAGCCGCAGCCCACTTCGCCCTCTGCGGACCACTCCTCAGCGCTCGCGGTCAGGACACTGCCCGCGGTCACACATCCCGCTTGCACTTCCGGAGGATGACCTCACCCACCCTGCACAGAGAAGCCCGTTTGGTGTGTGGTTTTCAGGGCCGGTGCGCCTGCACTGCACGGTCCAAAACCTAAAACAGAGCGTGAGGAAGACGTACCTTCAGGAAGACATCCAAGTCTATGACGCCCCGCCTCAAGGCTTCTCCCAGGTAAAAGATAGTGTCTTCAATAGCATTTTCCTCTGCATAGAGATTGAGGATCTGTTTATACAGTGGGGCTGTAGGAATGATAACTTCATCGATATCATTGTTTTCAGACTGATTTTCCATTTTCTCCAGAGCAGAACTGAGTTCTTCATCCTTCTTTTTCAAAAGTTCTATGTTTTTATCAACTTCCGCCTAAAAACAGAAGTTGTATATGATGACTTTATACTAATTTATCTTTTTGAGACAGGGTCTCGCTATGCAGTTCAGGCTGGCCTTGAGCTCACTTTGTAGCCCAGGCTGGTCTCAAACTCAAAAGGATCCTCCTGCCTCAGCCTCCTGAATGCTGGGATTATAGGCATGCGCCACCATGCCCGGCTACTAATTGATACAGAATCATCTTGTTAAACATGCACAACTCAACTTCAAAGAAGAGACTGCTAAAGGAGTATTTAAATAACTCATGGATGAGATCGTTTGCAGTAACACCTTGTAAAAGGGAGGGAGAAAGGTAGGAGCAAAGATGCTGACTGAAAACAAGGAGACCGCATCTCAAATACCCTTAGCTGAGCACACAACAGTGACAAGCTCATCACTTCTGAGTGACAAATGATCCGAACCAGTCCGTCAGACAGGCTCTTCTCCAGCAGGAAGTACCTTTCCACAGAAAATCATGAAAGGTTTCCCTCCAGACAAGTGGGTATCTGCCACAGAGGAATAATGTTCCTCAATCTGTGCAGAGAATCCAACGTGCACAGCCCTAAATACCTCCAGCTTCAACATCGTGTAGGCGGTAGCAATGGGCTGTGAATTACACTGGTGTCGCTTTCCTGAACATCTGGAAATAGCCAGCTACCTCGACGCTCACTTTATCCATGCGCTAGAACCATTCCCGAGGACAATGTGTACACGCCAATCCCTGCCCCAAAGACATCACTCTTCCCACTGCTCTCTGTTTTCATCACAAATGTGCATTTCCTCAAACAGACTCTCCCTCGCAGCTGTGACAAATGGAGCGAAGCTGCTGCTCCTGCTACGCCCGGGCCTGCACTTCACCATCGCTGGACAGAGCCGCAGGGCGGACTGAGTGCTGACGCTCCTTGGCACCAACGTGTACAAACGTGAGGCAACCCAGGAGCTCGTGGGCGCACGTAGGTTTCTCCTTCCCTTTTTGAGACAGGAGTCCACTATGCAGTTCAGGCTGGCCTTGAGCTCACTTTGTAGCTCAGGATCGTGTCGAACTTGCCGTGATCCTCCTGCCTCAGCCTCCGGAGTTCTGCGATTACAGGCGTGCGCCACCACATCCGGCACATAGTATGTTTACATAAAACTCTTAAATTAAACCCAAATATCTCTGGACTACTAAGAACAGCTTGCTAAAGACAATCTGAAGAGTGGCTCACACATTTGGAAACCCTGAACCCGCAACACAGGTCTACAGATCTTCACAGTGGCTTAGCGCTCTACACTCCTTATTTCCTCTACCTGTGTGGCAACAGTAAGTGCTCAGTCAGTCTTCCTCGGGGTCAAACATTATCTCCTGGGCTGACAGTGCAAGCTAAATGCTCTGAGTATCACTCACCTCCCGAAGACCAACCACCGAACACGGGCTCCACTTTTAACCAAGCATGAGCGAAGGTAAAATTCAAATGTCTAAAGACACTATAGTGTTTGGAACTCTCATTGTACACACACCCAGGACGTGTACAGAACACCTGCCAAGTGTTCAGGGAGTTACTTACTACTTCTTGATCTAGGCGGGTGACCATCTCTTCCAGTTTCTGGTGTCCCTTCTTCAGGTCTTCCTCTGTTCGTTTTAAGGCATTAAGCTCCGCCTGGGCACGATCCATTTCTTCCTTCATTCGCCATCTCAGTTTGTCACTGACTGCCGAGATGAGAGAGGCCCGGATGGTGTCCTCGCTGATGGTGCCATCTCTGCTGGGACCTGCAGGAGACACGGGTGAAACACACCTGATTACTGCTCAACTTCTTCCTGTTCTTTCTATTCAGCCCACAACCTGTGTGCTGACACCTTTAAAACAGGAAGGACAGTAAATGTTAAAAATACGCGCTGAGTCAGAAGCTCCGCGGGAGGGTTTACCGTTAGTCCATATTTGCCCTTGTTCCCTGATCACCGCCAATGGCTATTTTCTCACTTAGCCCGGGACCCTACTGAGTACACCTCATTTACGGCAAGCCCATCTGCAGGCTTCTCTGCCGCACGGCCTCAGCTCACGCTCGAGGCCAGTGAGAGTCTGCCGTTCCGCAGTAGTTGTCCTGTTGCTGGTACAGAACATCTGAGCCCCGCGAGGAGGGCAGCTTTAGTCCGCCTCCCGGTTTCAGTCAGTTCAGTCCACGGCTGGCTGCCTCCGAGGCAGGAGCTTGCGGTGGAAGGGCGCGGTAGAGCAGGGCACAGGAGATGCGGCCAGGGGACACAGACATACCCAAGGCCTCATTTCTATGACCTCCTCAGACAGGTGCTTCAATAATCCCCTCAACGGCTCTCAAGCCGATCACGGTGACAGTCCAGCCTAGCCATCGCACCGTCCTCGAGAGAGTTACTCCTTTACGCTTTGTCAGAAGAGGGAACAACAGGTGGGCAGAGCGAATGATAGCTCGGATTCAACAGTCAATAAACCTGTGCATTCCGATTCTGTAGTATTCTGCTTCGGCGGTCCCTTCCTAATCAGTCTTATCTCACGTTCTTACTTCAGACAGAGCTTGTCCTTCAGGTATTTTCTTTAAAAGTCCTCCTTGTAATGAAGGCGTATACACTCCTTATGACTCGGTGTCCCGTCACTTATGGTCCTACATCAACAAATGCGTGAACATTTTAATTGTATCTCATTACAGAACACTCCGTAGGAACGTACGTATATTTAGCCTCAACTGCCTGTAATGACTGCAGAAAGACTGCAGACTCACAGAGGGTACCAGTCCCACCTGGGAAAGTTTTACCACTTCAACATTTAGTTCCACTCATCAGGGAGACAAACCTCATTAGTCTATGCAAGAAAACGAGTCCACTCACCACTCGTCCCCTCCCTGATGTCTATGTACACTGTCTCCACAGGGGCAGCGTGCTGGCAAAACCACAGCCGGTGCCACCCAAGTTCGCACTGTCCCACTCGATCCTAACTGCGGGAGGACACCGGGGACCGAACCAGTCTTCATGCTGAACTTTCACCATTCATTCTTTTTTTGTTTGAGACAGGGTCTCGCTCTGTAGTTCAGGCTGGCCTTAAACTCAATATGTAGCTCGGGCTGGCCTTGAATTCATGGCGATCCTTCTACCTCAGCCTCTGGAGTGCTGGGATTACAGGCGTGCGCCACCACACTCAGCTCATTCCTATTTGAGAGAGACTCTTGCTAAGCTGCTCAGACTGGGGTCAAAGTTGCATCCTGCTGCCTCAGCCCCCAGAGTGCTGGGACTGCGGGTGTGCACCACCCCAGCTGGCTCTGCTTTTACTTTTTGAATAGTAAAGCTGTCTGGTTACAGTGGTCCTGGTTACCCTGGGGGACACTGAAGTTCTTGTTTCCATCATGGAAAAGAGGTTTCTGTGACTTGGATTCTCTTTCTCTAGCAGATGAAAACGAGCGAGTCTCCCCGGGCCAGGTGCCCTGCTCCTCTCTACAAGCCTGCTCTCCCCATCGGAAGCCTCCTGCTGACGGAAGCCCAACGGCGCACCCTGCCAGGTTCAGCGGCGCGGGCACTTTCGGTGAGTGACACACAGCTTTCTAGCCGGTATGTACTCTCTGGAATTCACTTCTGATTTTATAAAGGCAGCTCAGCTTATTCATATTTCGGAGAAATAAACAGTAACTCTTTCAGACAACCTGTGCTTTGGAATTCAGAGCTGCAGAGCTAGATGGCTACATTTCGCCTGTGAAAAACCTACGTCTTGCTTTTCAGACTCCTGGTCTCTTCATGCGTAGTTTTTCTAAATTGTTCTCTTGTTTACCAGCCACTGCCATTGCCTCGAAGCTCAATTCCCTGTTTTTCTTATTGCTTTCTCTCCAACACTGTAATCTTTTTCTACCAACTCTTTAGCTACTCCCCTGCATGCAACGAAGACGCCAGGAGGCTGCCGGCCATCTTCTTGGACTCACCCCCTCGAATGTTTGCTTACTGCTGGCCCAAGGTGTCAGTATCCCCGATCACACTGTGTATCGGTGTGTGTCCCTGTGTTACACACTGAAGAGGACTTGCTTTCGCCCCCTCAGTACCAGTGTCCACCTTTGTTCAGCTTCTGACCACGCTCGCTCCCACTGTGCATGTGCCCTCGGCGCCGGCTGCCCGCCCCCTTGTGCGTCCTTGGGGACGGCTGACTCCACGGGGGCCTCCCTCACATGCTGCCATCGCCAGGACTGCGAACTCCAAAGCTCCCCCGCCATAACCTAACCAAATCCCTGATCCCTAAGTCTTCTTAAAGCCCTAAATCCTGTTTACCTGCTCCCCGCAAAGGCAACAAACTTCAGGACAGCTCTGAAGAAGACAGAGACCACCAACCAGGCTTCGACTCCTTTTTATTCCTGTTTCGGGATGGGAACCCGCACACCTCTGATCACGTGCCTGACTCCCCACGAAAGCAGCCCCCCCATCTCAGCAAGACAGCCTGCTCTCCTTCGGCGCTCTGCAGCCCCTCTTCCTCACTCCGACCAGGGAAGCACTTTCCTGCTCCTGCTCACTGGTTAGCCCCACACGTCATCAGCGAGCGCGCTCACCCACCTCCCTTCCCAGCCCAGCCCGTGGCTATGAAGCGCCGCTGTCTTCAGTTTTTACTTCCGAGTTCAAGTCCCACTTTATCCCCATCGCTCAGGCGCATTCTCAGGGGAGGTGATACTGCCTCCCTACAGCTACCCCACGAAGGTGAAAGCTGGTACTTAGGAGGTGAAAATCTTCTTCTTTTAAAGTGTAACACAGGGGCACACATACAGACACAGTATAATCTGGGATATTAACATCTTGTGGCAGGCCACAGTTAGTAAAAAATGTCTAAAATGGCCGGGGGGAGGTGAGCTGGGCGTGGTGGCGCCAACCTGTAACCCCAGCACTCGGGAGGCTGAGGCAGGAGGATCACTGTTAATTTGAGGCCAGCCTGGGCTACAAAGCAAGACCCTGTCACTCACAAACAAACAAACAAAGGCTGGAGAGGTGATAATGAAAATAAGTTGAACACTGCTGAAATCCATCTGCCATCTTGTGTTTCAACGAGATTCCTGTTGGTACTGTACATTTCTATTTGCTGACTTTGCTATTATCCCCGTCTCATGATTAAGCCTGTGGTCTACATTTGCTACATTTAAATTATACTCATCACAACCTGTGAAAGGCAGACTTCTTGAAGACCCTGCAGATGATCTGGATGCTCTAACGACCTGCAAGATGATCCTCCTCTTCTCCACAGTACTTCCTCTCCCATCAATCAACAAACTATCTAAGCCATTCTACAGTGATGGCAAGAGCTTTAAAATTATATATGTATTTTTTGTCTTTTTGAGCCAGGGTCTCACTATGCGGTTCAGGCTGGCCTTGAGCTCACTTTGTAGCCCAGGCTGGCCTCAAACTTACAAGGATCCTCCTGCCTCAGCCTCCCAAGTGTTGGAATTACAGGCTTGCACCACCATGCCCGGCGAAGAAGGTCATTTTAAAAACTGTTTATAAATATAAAAAACTCCAAAATAAATGGCACAGTGGTATTAAAGATCTAGTCACCATCTCTGCTCCGTGAAAATCAGAAAACTGGACTTCTAAAGCTCTGTTGCTAGAGGGGAGGGAGAGCAGGAGGGAAGTAAAATGGTCTGTGAAAAATGTAATAATTATCTATTCCCCATGGTAAATGTATTCAACAGGTATCAAAACATGTACAGCACTATTAAAAAACTATAATAAAAAAATAAAGCTCTATTGTTTAGAGAGGATGTGGTTGGGGGGGTGTTTGCAAGGGAATAACACAGTAAAATATTTCGTATTAGGGATGTCAATATTATGGCTGCTTTCATCAGATAATTTTAACTGTACAGCCTCCGCAATTCAATGCTAAGCCTATTCAGCAATCAGTTTTTAAAGATATTACCCTGTCTGCAAGGAGACTTTCAAATTTTTATCAGAGAATAATACTTATGGCAATCTCTCTGACTGCTTTGCCCTTTTTTTTTGGTATAAGCAATTGAACTCAGGCAGGCACTGTGCCACGGAGCTATATCCCCAGCCCTGCTTTGCCATTTTTGCCAGGGAGATGAAACTAATTTATTTCTCAAATTTCTCTCTCTCTCTTTTCTTTTGTGTGTCTTTTTGAGGCTGGCCTTGAGCTCACTTTGTAGCCCAGGCTGGTCTTGAACTTGCAACAATCCTCCTGTCTCAGCCTCCTGAGTGCTGGAATACAGGTGCGGGCCACCACGCCCAGCTTTATTTCTCAAATTGAAAAGATTAGAAAAACTAAAAAAGAAATGTTAAATTTTCTGTAACAACCTTCAACCCTCATTTTTAGTATGTAAACCAAAGTTAACCACTTCACAGTTTACCTGGAGTGTCACTTGGGCAGCGTATTTGTTTATGTACTAGCCCAAGTGTTGCTTGGGCAGGTGTCATTTCAGCCAGTGAATTCTTTTTTTTTGTTCTTTTTTTTTCTTTTTTCTGGTACCGGGAATCAAACGTACGACTTGCACTTGCCAGGCAGGCACTGTGCCACTGAGCTAAATCCAAAGCACCCCCCCTCTTTTTTTTAGAGCCAGGGTCACACTATGTAGTTCAGGCTGGGCTTGAACTCATTGTGTAGCCCAGGCTAGTCTTAAACTTATAGGGATCCTCCTGCCTCAGCCTCCCAAGTGCTGAGACGACAGGTGTGCACCACAGCTGGCCGAGGATGGTCTTACAAACTTTTACAGGTGCTAATCTTCTACCTAACCCAAAATTCACTATTCATGGCAGTCTGTACAGTGAGT